ATTTACATTAAACCACAAAACCATGATTTCATTTAGGAGGTGTTCTTTTGTTACCAGTTTTTATTTGAGCAAATGATTTTTATAATAGATTATGGACTTTTTTCCAGCCCTTGCAGAAACATTTGAGATAGTAGTGGAGGTACATCCCAGGATTATTTGGCAGAATATTTAGCACAGCACACCATTTAACTGACTATGCCCCTGAAATTAATGTAACCACTTCAAGTAGGTTACTTAAATAACTATTTGCTAGGGTCAACATACGAATAGCTTCATATTGGCAACAGCTTCCTTGTTAAATTACATTTATAGTCAGGGCATTCTGCAGGATATATCCAGCCTCTGGGTTAGAGCTATGCTTTCCGACCCTTCACAACTTTTGAGAAGGGAAGTCTGGCCTGGCATACTGAATCTTGCAATAATACTGGTCATTGATCTCAATCTCATCTTTGTCCATCTAAGTCACGAGAGATCTTTTCAAGAGCAGAAGGAGCACAACATTAAAAAGATATTCAGTCAAGGATCAATTTAGTAAGAATTTTACTAATGCCCGCAGTACAGAAAATTTGAAAAAATCCTGTAACATTTGCAAATCAATTAAAAAAGAGTTTTCTCCTCTCTAAAACTACAAGGAAAAAGATTTCCATATTATTGTACTGTTAACTAACTGTGATCTGTGGGAGTGCTGAGAGATTTAATTTACATACTAATGCTGCAAGCAGGTTGGGGGGTTGGGGGAAGAAAGTTACTTAGCACCAGTAATGAGCAGAAAGGAAAAGAAGGCAGCTACAGTCCCCATGGACTGTTTTGTTTTCAATAATTTTAGACTGTCTAATAACACCTTTTAATAAGCTGCTCTCAGCTAAAAAGCTGCAATCAGCCTTTGTCAGCGAACATAATACTGCCCCAGACAGGAAAATAGTTCTGATGTAATGGACAAAAGACCCTATCTAAAGAAAAGCTTCTTAAAAAAAAAAAAAAGGAGAAAAAAGTTCCATCACTGAAAGACACAAATTATGCTGTCTATGCTGTATATCCTTTCATTTCTAAAACACTAGATTTCAAGATGATCTCTATTAAAGCAAAATACATTAAAAACATTTTTTGGTTTAGTCTACTCCAGTCCTAGTTTACAATTAGACGAACTTGCTTATTTATAGGGTATTTATGCCCTATAAGTGCAATCTAAATTATGACTGATCATGTTAATTTTCTGTTTATAGTCTATGCTACCCACTTAGTCTCTAAGTGACTACTATGCAACACTGAGATTAACATTGCAATAGGCCATCTAAATTTAAGACTATTTCCACTCCACTCACTCAATTTAATGGCAGTTCTCACTGAAGCTGAAGTCTAGCTATAAAAGCCTAAGATATATGTATCTTAGGTAAAACATGGATGTTCTACTCCATCACACACAGGATTCCTCAAAACAGTGGGTCACCTTCACTGCTGATAAATGCAGGTCCAACTCCACTGTTGCCAAAAACAGTCATGCCACCATAAACTGGAACTGACTCTACCCAACACTTGGGTGTAAAAGTTGGTTTATAAACCATTGCTAACTCTAAAAGAATTCAGTATCATCCTCTCAGTAGATGTCTTTCTTAATTTTTATAATTCAAAGCACTAACAAGACAGAAACAAGATCACTTTTTTTCCTAGGAATTATTCTGATCTTTCCAGTATTATCACCATCCTCTTCTTTCCAGCAACAGACTTACTGTGATGGCAGTTAACACATTTTACAGATCAGCTCAGAAACATGCCTAAAACTTAAATAAGACACGTTGTCAAAAAAATACCCAATCACTAAAACCAGCACAAAATCTGTTTGTCCTGAAGATACACCTATCACCTTAGCAATATAGGTAGAGATCTCTGTTTAACCGCTTTCTAATGTCATTTGCTGGACAGTTAGCATTAGCCACTGTGGCATTTGGTTATTGTACTTTGCTCTCACTTAAGGGAAAATAAATTTATCACTTAGAAAAAACAGATAATTTGTGGAGTTTAAGCAGCAAAACGGTAGCTTTCTTCTCTTGATACATTTCTGCCCTACCTTACGGGAAGGGGAACTGACTATATCTGTGACTGGCAAATCACACTTTCTCTGAGGGGTGCCAGATAATAATAGCACGTCAACACACTCACAGCCAAATGCTCCTTTTGCCAATGAGATTTCATAACGCTTCCTTCACTTCTGAAGCTCTGCAAAGAAAGGAAGTGCTAACTCCCTGTTAAAACATATAGTCTAAAGGACCCAAAACTGTCTAATGTTTGAACTCCTTTTGCACAGAAAGAGGGAAATTGCTTTTTTTTTTGCATGAAGTTCCTTTTTTTTTTTTTAAACTTTTTTTTGGTCTTTTTGTTTTTTTAACAGCTAGAAGCTGTAAGCTGAACAGGTACGTCTACACACAGCTACGCTGTGTTAAAGAACTTAGGATTTACTGCTTCTAGTTTCAGACAAAGCAACACTCAGAGAAATGTCAAGCTTTTCTCCTCCTTCTGTTCAGAGGAAAAAGATACAATTGTTAATAGCTAAGATGACCACAGAAATGTTTTTGGCTTCTATCCATATCCTTTTCTCTAGCTAGTGGTAAAATAAGAAGGGGAACAGGTATGAAATTCAATTAAGAAATGCCTGGGTTTTTTGTTTTTTTTTGTTTTGGTTGCCAATATCATTAGATCAGCACCTGAATGTATAACATTTTACAAATGGTCCAAGGGTAGAGCAGACCTGAAATGCACATTTCTCAAGCTGAAAACATTCTCAGTAAAATATAGGCTTCCAATCAGCTCAGACAAAATGCTAACAAGTACCAAATTAAAGCATGAAGCTGCAAGTACTTTAAGAACAAGATCCCTAATATTGATTTTACAAAAAATAGTTTATCAGGAAGTTAAACACACATTTAGAGTCCCAAATAGTTTCTCTGCACTCAGAGCTAAAAACTCAACAATGTGAGATTTTAAATCCTCTTACACCCTGAGATTATTCAGGATTCTAACTTCCCTCTGGAGGCACAGACCCTCCCCTTTTCACAGCACCACCATCTGATAAATAGACTGAGCAACACTTGTACCAATCACGTAATAAGAGCTTTTCTGCCCTTTTTAAACTTGTTTCTACTTGCAAGCTATTTCATGCTATCTCAGAAATACTGGGAAATAACGGTAGCATGTAGTTATACACCCAGAGCTAAAGTAAGAGGTCGCAGAAAGGGCTTCCCTTGCCATTTCCTAGCAATTCCCTGTCGTTTCAATACACAAGGTTAAATTACTCCAGAAGCCTCCCTACAGGGCTTCCATTGTTTGTCAGTCAAGGCTAGGACACAATAGCACTCATTCATGTGCACGGCAAACAAGCAGCTAAGGGCCAATGATCAGTATAGAGTCTCATCTTGGTTCTTCTGCAAACAGTTTGTAGAAAGATGGCATTTCAAATAAACTATGTCAATTTTGCAAAGCTTCAATGCATTCCTAGTATAAACTACTTAGTAGGAAGTCCAGACAAAAATTAAGACAACTTGAGAGCAACGTGAAGAATCACCCAAAAAACCCACTCGCTCATTAGGACTGCTCCTGAAAAAGACCTGCTTGCTACAACCACATGCAAAAAGATTACGTTTTAATAGTTAGAGAAATACACATTCAGAAAAGTTCAAAATAGCTGATTCTTTCCAAAGACAGTCATACCATGCTTTTGTTTTTAGAGTACCACTTAGTGTTCAGCCTCAGAGCCTATGTTACTAAGGGGTACAGACACCAAGGTTCCAAAGTGCACTTAAGGCTGTTTACTTCATATCTTCTGGTTAGGAACCCAAGAGGTTTAGGGTTTGCAGTTTTTTTGGTTTTGTTTTGCTTTGCTTTTTTTCAACGTGTTAAAAATAGAAAAAACAAATGCAATATGACAGAAGTCCAATGCTGCTGATAACTGGAGAGACACAAGCCTCACGCACCTCTTCATTGTTTCGCCTTTTCTACTTCAAAACTTGCTAGAGCAAAGACTTTGTCTCCTGATCCTATGAGAGGAAAAAACGTTTTCAGTAAGTATTAGTAGAAATTGTGCATTTCCTTATATACAATTTAAATCAAGTAAAGCATTTGAGATCAAAAGAAATCAAACCTTCATTTTGAAAACCAGAACACTTGAGCTAATTTAAAAAAAAAAAAAAAAGACATACTGGCTTGACAGGTCTGAAACCAGGCTGGGTCTGGCTGGGACAGAGTTTCCATAGCATAACTTTCCCCATAGCAGCTCTCATAGTGCCCTGCTCTGTATTTGTAGCTAGAACGGTGTTGATAACACACCGATGTTTTGGCTACTGCTGAGCAGTGCTGGCACAGCATCGAGGCTGTCTCGCCCCCGAAGGCCAGTAGACTTGGGGTGGGCAAGAAGTTGGGAGAGGACATAGCCAGGACAGCTGACCCAAACCGACCAGAGGGATATTCCATACCATACAACACCACGCTCAGCAATAAAAGCTAGGGGAAAGGAGGGGGTGGGGGATTTGTTATTAAGGCATTTGTCTTCAGAAGGAACTGCTACGTGTACTGAGGCCCTGCTTCCCAGAAAGTGGCTGGACATCACCTGCTGATGGGAAGTAGAGAATAAATCTTTTTGTTTTCCTTTGCTTCTGTGCACAGCCTTTGCTTTTCTTCATTAAACTTCCTTTATCTCGACTCATGAGTTTTTAATTTTATTTTCTCCCCCTGTCCTGCTGAGGAGGGGAATGAGAGAGCGGCTTGGTGGGCACCTGGTGGCCAGCCAAGGTCAACCCACCACACAGAGAGCTGCTAATGAAGTACGCTGTTGAACAAAAGGTTCTCACCTTGCTTACGCTCTCAGGAAGAGGAGTACTGAGAGGTAGGTCACAGAGTCAGTTTATTTGTACCCTGACCTAGTGTGGCACGTTCCTGCCATTCATAGTTCTTTCATCACAGTTCTAACTGTAATGCTAGAATGAACTGTCGTGCTTATTTAATGCATATTATAACAACTTTTGGTGTTGTCAATATGATTAGAGTTATGACAATCACGGCAAGAAGAGTGCTTTAAAGCTGTATTTTGACAATGTGACAGTAATTGCTGAATTCTCTGCATCAAGCAGAGAAAAAGGCTCTCCTGAAGAGAGTCACTAATGCAAGAGAGATCTGTGCTTAACTGTAAGCTCTGTAGCTTGAGACAGACCATTCAAGCCTTCGGCATTATGGGCAACACTTGGCATTTTATGGCCATTTGGCACTGGATTTATTTGCTGTGTTAGTTTTTCCTCATGGATAGTGTATCAGAGTTTCATTGTTAATAAAATAGAAAAACGTACATAAAAATTTAATGGCGTGAATCTTTTGTATATTTTCTCTTTCATAGGGGAATCACAGGTATTTCTATTAATCAGTGTTCAATGAGGCAAAGAAATTGGAAGTTATGAGAATGAAAACCTACCAAGGTCAGTGGAGACTCTCTCAAACTGGCTCAGGGCTGTACCAGCATTTGCTGACAAGAACATCTCATCATCTGGAGTGAGCTAAATCAAAAAAGGCCATAACTGTGAGCTTGGTACCTTAATTGTGCATATTCCCACCACTGTAATTCCCACCATCTATACGGGCATGTACACGAACTATGACAGGTTATAGCGATTTTCAATTTGCAATTTTTAAGTGGCAGTGTTATCTAACATATTAAAAGCCAAAGTAAAAATGCAAGCTACTCCCCCTACCACTGAATGTTTTTCTCAGTGGCATCTGTCAGCCCAGCATATGCAACATCAGACATGCCTCTACATGCACCACTAAGTTTCAAGCTGACCTCCAGTGATAATTTGTGATGAAAAGGTCACACTGTACCTCTGTACCAAAACTATGCAAAGGATGTCAATTACTTTTTTGTCATGTGGTTAATACAGTAGTGAGCTAAGATCTAAGCTCACTTCATATCATTTACTGAGGAAAGCAAAAAATATGCAGTCATTAGCAGCTTTGACCATGTTAAGAGTCAATGACCTAGAAATGGTTCTCCTCCTCTAAAGTGACATTTGCACATGTATATTTTGCTTTTATGTATGTGCTCTGATGACTTGTGACAGATGCCCATAAAATATTTACAATAATGAAGTAGTAACCTACATTTGGAAGGTTCAGATATTCTAAGTTAAAACTCGCTCATTTAAGTAGCCTCAGACATATATCCTTATTAAAGCAAAGCATAAGTGTGTCAAACTGTCCACAGCATTTGTGTCAGTTTATTTATTAAAAATATAAAAATCAGGCGCAGGCATTCAGAATGATGTCGGAAGGAAAAAGTATTAGTTACCTGCCTTTGCTGTGCTTTGTAAGCATCTAACTACTTAACATTTTGCAGTATTGTGCAGATAAACACATAATATTTACCATCATTTTTCACATTCAGAGCAGATGTGAAACTACTATCCTAGCAAGTCCTCTGTGAAGTAGGTTACTGATAATTTTAAAAGATAAAGAGGCTACGTCAAAGCATGGTAAAGTGGCTTGTCCGAAGTAATCCAAGAAACTCATGCCAGGAGGATTAGATACCTTCATGCATTCAGTTCGCAATCTTAACTAGCCTTTTAACCTACTTCCAAAACATTTTTTTCTCTGATGGCCAAGCAATAAAAATATTCTGAGGGAAAGCATTTGCTAATATCATCTACTTGGAACGCAGCTCCTTTAAGTACTGCACTTGATCTTGTCCATTACATTCCCTCAGTTCCTAAGAAAGTTTAAGTACAGAGATACACAGCAACCCATTTTCCTCATTACCATCAACAAAAAGAAATAACAACTTCTCTTCCTCCCTCTAGTGGTAAAAAACAGGGATCGTTCTGCCACTGATGTACTCATTGGGGAAACAATCACATTTATTAGTCATCTCTCCAATTTATTTATCTTACACCAAGAGGTAGGTATTATCACCAATGCAAAAGTAAGTAAAGCTCAATGTATGTCAAAAGTCTTGGATAGTTCCTGTCAGGTGGATAGGTGGTAGTTAGCCAGTAAATGACTTGTTTTATAGCTTTTATAAATATCATCAACTTGTACCAGCTTATATGTGATTCATTCATATGACCCACCAAAGAAAACATTTTAAACTAGAAACAGCCTTAGATAAATGTACAATACTATTTGATACATGTTCAGTAGTGAGTGTTTCAGAAAGCTTGGCATTAAAATGGAAGGACGTTTATGTACTACAAAAGCAGGCTGCATTTTATTATTTGCTCATAAACAAAAGTTGTAATTTCTTATTTTAATGATTTCAAATTCCTCTTCAATATACACATAGAAATTTCTGTTCACCTAACTATCATACCAACAACCTTACCTTCTCACCAAGCTTCCTGAGGGCAGTAAGGATTTCCACTTTCTGCTGCGTGTATAGGTCTCGTCCCAACTTCCCAACCATTAAGTCTCGGTCCATCTGTATACCGGGGGGGGGAAATAAGTCAAAATATATAAGCCTCCCATTAGTTTCACTCAACACAACAGCATGAGCATGCAACAGCCTAAAAATATCATCAGTGAGTATGGTACCAATGGAAGTACGGGACAGAGCTACTCATAATTTAAAAGATGGCCATGAAGTTTTTCTGACCGTTCTGCGAACACTCTTTGCACCTAGCCTTAGCATTCTTGATTGCTCCAAACTTGAATCTCTTTTAATCAAAGACTGCTCGTCATTCAAAATTATGGATTCACATATCACTGATACATGGAGGAATGACATTTCATTTCACTTTATCTGGATCTCAAGTTCAGTCTAGATGTCTGAAACACTGAGTGCACTCTCCAGTCCCTCAATAGAATTACAGATTCATACTCTTCAGATTTTCTATTTACAGTTATACTCAGTTCATTATCTGTTAATCACATCTTTGTTTTGATGCAGCAAGATAAAAGATAACTCAAGAAATACACATTGCTGTCCCCATTACCTCAAGGAACATTTAAAACTGAACAAATTCTGAAAGAGAACTTCTCTATCTCCTTATGGTGCTGCCACCAAGTTTTCTAACACGCTTGGTGCTCTCCTTGCAATCGTTACATATTTAAATCAGTCTAGCTCAAATAAACAGTTTTTACAGTAAAACAGAAACCTTCACCTCTGCCAACCTTGTCCTCAATTGCCTTGGTTGTTTCTTTGCAAACATTCTAATTACTTCTGGAGTTTTAAATGCTTGGCTGATGGCTGCTTGTATTGCCTGCAAGGAAAAGAGCAAGAATGACCAGAACTAATAGTCACAAGCTATAGCTGCATGACAAGATTAATGAAGGCTGGAAAGCATCATTAGTATCCTCTGCGTCATTTGATAGAGAGCTTTTCTTTTATTGCATAACCATGGAAGTGAGATGAAAAAAATATATGACCTTTATGCAGGGCTTGAAAAATCCACTAATTAGTGCAACTGCAGCGAGAAGGAGCCGTGAAACTTTTCATTAGAGTCCAGGTCTTAATTTCTAATAATTTCCAACATCTTCCTGATACTAGCACATCACAAGTGGATGTGCTATGCTATCTTTAGCGGTTTTAATGCCCACACCGATGATTACAGCTCTTCCAAGGGTAAGCAGAATGTAAATCATGAGGTAAATCTCCTACTGTTATTCAAAATTTTCTGCGGAGTATCAAAACTATTATGATTCAATCTCACCACATTATGTTTGGACAAATCATGATCCCTCTGGAAACAAACTCCTAAAACATAGGGCTTAGAAGGAACAAATCATGCTCTAATTAAACATTTGAAAAGAGATCAAAAGTTGGGACGTCAGCATAAAATAAGATCAATTCACTAAAAGAACTTCAAGTTACATGGTCATTCCTACAGCCTTTTCATTTGGATTGGTACGAACCTCTAAAACAAATCAGCAATAAGAGCACAGGAAATGCTATCTTTATGCTTTCTAACAAACAGGTATGAACTTTATTTCTCACAATATATATTGTCCTGGACTGTCACTCACACCTTTTAAATTAATTTGCATTATTTTATGTTATTTTCTAATATTAAGGATCTGATATTTTCAGTCCCTGCAGTTTTCCAGTTTTTTCTGCAGTGTTATGGTTATAATTCTTCAATATTTTTTTCTTTTAAAATGAAGAGACCTGACCAAATTTTTATACGTACACATATATTAAATAATAAAAACATTAGATACATAGAACTAGCTTTCACATGTGCCTGTCTAAAAATTATAATGAACCACTTGTATCTATTTTCTGTTTGATTGAGTCCAGGCAGAACATGAACTATTTTTAGTAACACATCATCCTTACCAGTTGCATCCCGCTGAGCTCGTCCACCAAAGTCATATCTCCAGACATAATCTTCTTCAGGGAGTCATTGATCTCACTCAGCTGTTCTAGGGTTTCTTTTTTGGTCTCTTCATACTCATCTGCATCTAGCTCCTCTCTAAAGAGGATCCAACAAGACATATTAATTCATTGGACTAAACCCAAGATGTAACATGGAGAAAAGGACATCAGGAAATATCATGAAGCACGCTTCCTCAGATAGCAATGAAAACATTCACATCACTTCAGATTATTCTGCTGTAGCCCACTTAGCTGTTATTTAGCTAATGCATATGTAGTTTTCTTGGTTTTCCACCACCTCCTAGCCACCCATGCGCTTGTGTTGTTTGTATTAAGTCACTTGTATTAAAAAGCCCCTGACAACTACGAGATACTCAACACTTGGTGCAATATTTAAAAGTGCCTTTTGGATCTCAACAAACATATGCAGTTAGGTTGTCTTGCTCAAAGCTACGGTGAATGACATTACCCGAGAAGTCCATCTTCTCACCTAAAAACCATCAAGTTATTCAGGAATAACTGATCCTGATGTCTAAACCTTGCCCAATTCAAAGAATGGCACTACTAACCCTTAGCAATTATAATTGTTCTTGAAAAACATATGTACTCCTTGGACAAGTTAGAATTATAGTCAGAGAAAGCATCTAAAACCACACAGGATGTTTAAGTGCAAGTACTGAAACAGAAAAAAACACCCTTTTCCTTGGTAATTCAGTCTATCTCAGATTTTATTAGCCCACAAAAAAACTAACACAAAATCACATTAAACAAATCACACGAAAATGTTAGACAAACTAAAAAACCCCAAAAACCAAACATCCGTAATTGTAAGACAAAACAAAGTAGACAAAAGCTATTTGTTAACTGCTATTAAAAAAGCCCATATGAAAATTGTGAATTCTGTGAACAGCTATTAAAAGTCACACTGAAATATAAAATTTCAAAGAAAACAGTAATGAGTATTTCTGCCCGCATTTTCCTCAAGATGATAAATAGAATGATCTTAATAAAAAGAAAGGTTTTTTAAAAATAATTTTTACTACCTAACACAAACATCCTACCTAATTTAAAAAATATGAAGCCACAGCAAAACACAAAATAAAACAAAAAACCCCACAAGATTTTTGAAAGGTACCACTTTCTTCTGCCAACCACTTAAGAAAAATATTACCATATAAGAGGAAAGCATTTATTTTTATTACCTGCATTCCTCCAGATCTTGAAGCTGCTGCATTAATCTATCCAACTGCTCTTCCAAGTTTTGTTTTAGTTTACTGGTCTCTGTTGTTCCTCTTGAAGCCATTTTCTGTTTTCACATTAAAATTTTAAGTTGTTACATGACACTCCTGGGAGAAAGAACATTTTATTGTTGTGCATCAACAATTTAAAACTTATCTTAAAATGCTCCAAGTATCAAGAAAATTATGCAGTATCTCGATGATGGAATGTCTGACCAAAACACTGGGAGATCCTTGCAGCGGGCATAGAGAAATGGTAGGCTGGGTCTACAGGATTGTTACCCTTGTAGCAAGAGGCAGCTCACCACGGTAATAACTCAAACAGCCAGGGCACATAAAAACAAGTAAGTTCGAAACCAAGCAGCAACTACCGAAATACTGAGGTCCCGCTACAGGAAACGAGATTCTACTCTTCAGCTGCCCCTTGGGAAGCTATTCAAGGGGCAACAACCCGGACGCAAGGTGTCTGAAGCACGCGAACACCTTAGAACCATTAGCGGTAGAAAACTAGAGCGCGCTAGAGGAAATACGTGCTGCTTTGGGTATCGAACAGGAGAAGGCGGCTGCGCGGCTCGGCAGCCGTTGACCGGCAAGTTCTGAGGTTTGCACGACCGCCAACGGCTCCAGCAGCCGCAGGCAGAGAAGGGAACGCGATCCTCCCCGCTGGAAAAGCGCGAGAGAGGAGAGCGAACCGGAGGCCCGGGGGGAGGAGAAACGAGAAGGAGCTCAGGCGCGATCCGAGGCCAGGGCTCCAGCCCGGCTCTTCCCCCTTCGCGCCCGCAGTTCGCGGAGGCGAGTCCGCCCTGGCCCCCTCCGGCAGGCAGAGCCGCACGCAC